ATAATAAACTATCAAATAGCAAAAAGAGGTTAAAATTATCTCCATCTTGACCAGTATCAGTAATAATAATGCAATAATTTTACAGTAATTTTCCTGAATTATGATTACTTTTACTTTTGATACACTAACTTAATTTCTGTAATAATACATTCATAGGTGACATTTTGAATGCAGCACTTTTACTTGTAATAGAGTATTTTAATATTGCTGTATTGCTGCTTTTACTTAAGTAAAGGAACATAACTCTACCTCCACCACTTATAGAACGGCTGGTAATTGTGATTATTGACGTTGTCCAGCTTTGAGTTTGTAAGACTGCCAGATATTCTACCTGAAAATAATAATAATTGAATTTTCTGTACTCACTTGCCACCGTGTGTGAAGCGGCTGCCAGCAACAGCAACAGAACAACAGACGTCTGCATTGTCAGTGCACCTCCTCTTCACGAAATATCCCTTTTGTGAGCACCAGGCAACAGAAAACAGGCTTTATAAACTCTCTGAGGTTTGACCTCACGTAGAGTATTAGTAGAAGAAACGCCTCCTTCCTCACGCAGACCTGCAGACAGCTCCTCCTCCAATTAAATTTTAGGGTCTCCTGGACTGATTGTGATTTTTGTATTTACAGTAAAAGCACGACTCTGGGATTACAGTCGTACATAAAGTAGAGCCAGTGCCGCATAATCACATAAGAAATGCAACAATTCCACAACTTTTTGCAAGCATGGCAAAAGACTGGATCACAAGACATGCTCGAGTGTGCACACACTGAATGAATGAAAGAAATAACTTTCACATAAAAGGTATATATATATTTAGATATACTCAGCTGTGGAATTTAACTGGTAAATTTATTCAAGGCCCTAATACTTTCATTTTATACCCCTGCCCCTCTACATTTCAGAAAGCAAAACCTTGTAATGTTTATATTTCACAGCTGTAGTTAATTTGTAGATTAATTTACATACAAAAGTAAATCTAAGGCCATAAAAAATTTAAATTAAATTAGCCAACAGTGTATATAAAGTAGTTCCAATTAGCTCCATCTAAACCAGTTAAAATATATAAATACTGCTTACACATTAATGCATCAGTTTTGACTATCTAATAATATAATATATGATCATCTGATAGTCACAGGGGCTTTTTTGTTTGCATTAACAAGTTAATTTTACTAATAATATTTCTGCACTTTTACCTAACATTTTCAATGCAGCATTATCTAGTATTAGTAACATTATTAGTATTTCTGCTTAAATAAAGAGTAGGAACGTCTTCTAGCACTGAATATAGTACAGTGCTTGATTATATATGTGTAAAGAGAGTTGCACAGTTGAATTGTAATAAAATAAATATTTTTCAATAACCTAGTGTAATTGTTCTTTTCTCATGCTTATTTGGCAATAGTGCGAGGCCAGTATTATAAAACCAACAAAAAGTGTATACATTTAAGGAAAAAGAATATTACCTAAAGCTGCAAGCTGTGTTGGACCTGCCCTCATGGTGTGATTCAGTCATGTGTCCTGGGATGATACGTGTGCTATAAACATTTATTGCATCTAAGTAAAACATGGTGCAGGGGCTGTGTCGTTAAAGGGTCACTTTTTGTTGCCAGTAGGTGGCGCTTTGAATTTGAGTGATTATTGGCATATGGATGTCTTTTGGGCAAGAATGTTATCAAACCTGTAAAGTTTGGTACATATGTGAGCACACACTGAGATTATAACAACTTCATGTTTCATGGCGAATCATCAATGTTTGATGCCACGTCACGGACACGGACACGGACACGTTCTTTGATCAAACTTCAGAGATAGTACAAATTTTCATCATGAATGCCTTTAGACTGCACAGCAAAAATTTGAAGTCGATCGGATTAATTCTCTAGAAAGAGTTTGTTATTGTAGGGAATGCCAAAAATGACCATTAAATCCAAAATGGCTGACTTCCTGTTGGGTTTAAGGCATTGCTCCATGAGGCTTTTTTGTAGGTCTGGACATGATATCTGTGCCACAAACATTTTGTACGTTTCAGGGAAAGGTGGCCTCCGGGGCTGCTCTTTAGGGGGCGCGCCAATGCACGAAAACATGCCACGTCAATTTTCGTGGGACTTGAATTTTGTGTAAAGTTTTGTGAATTTTTGAGCATGTTTAGGCCGCCAAAAATGTGAGTCATTTGCAGAAGAAAGAACATGAATAGCTTCAGTTTCAATAGGGTCCTTGCATGTTTATGCTCGGGCCCTTATCAGACTTTTTAAAGCTCAGTACAATACAACAGGGTCATATTTAGATCATGAGGGTTACAGTATCCTCCTTTTTGGCTCTTAGATGCCAATTCCACAAAGCATGTGCTCTCAAACACAATATGAATAGTCACCTAAATCTCTGCTAAAATCACCTGACCTATTTTGTGCTGCCCGTCTAATTATTCCTAATTACGCACGGATTTACTCCGAAATTCAATGTTTCTACTGTTGGTTATGTTCCGTCAAGTCCACATCATGGAAAAAGTAAGTTTCTGTAGAACTTATATTAGCTGAAAATACACTATACTTGTCACTGTGATAAAACATAATGTATCAAACAAGGAGTTGTTCATTTCTGTGTCATTACAACAATAGGTCACACAGTCTGCTGAGAGAGGCTCTGGGAGGAATGCAATGCTAATGAGGATTACTGAAGCACTTGTGACTCCCTAAATTCATCCGGCTTTGTCCTTCTACCCGGAGAACTACAAACACACTTTGTTGAAAGATTTTTTATTTTTTTGGTCTCCATATCATATGCCGAACTGTGACACCTTTTAAACCTCTTTTTAAACAATGACAGCATTCACAGCAAATCCTTTTCAAAACTGTTTCATCTGTCATTACGTCGAACACGAACCCTTTAACTCCCGTCAGGCCTCAACATGTACTTTAGATACACACCCATAACAGGAAAACATTGCAAGCATACTATAAAATATGTCACCTCAATACAGTAAAGACTGTGCTGCATCAGAATCAGATCAGAAAAAAAGCTAAAGTTAGAGTTAGAGTCTTGAACAGTTTGCCAGATATTCCAGCCAGGTTATAAATTATAGATCGGCATTTTGCAAAATAAGTTTATTCATTTTCTTGCTGAGAGTTCGATGAGATGATTGATACCACACTTATCTCTTCTGTTAAGTACTGATGATGATGAAGCTACAGCCAGTTAGCTTAGCTTAGCATAAAGACTGGAAACGGGGAAACAGCTAGTCTGGCTCTGTTTGAAAGAAACAAATGGCATAACAACAACTGCAGATGTTACCAAAGAGAAAGAAAGACATGAGACAAAACATTCAGCACACTGTACTGATAGTTCAGAGTAGATTTAATGTAACTGAGCAATTTATTTTGGGATTTGCACCTTTCAAAATCTGCAAATGGAAGAAACATAAAGAGGTAACCAAACCAAATAAGTATAAGATATTTCAGAGCAATAACTGGCTAGCTAGCTGGTTGGCTTGCTTGAAGGGAGGAGGCTCAGGCTCAGAGGCGGAGTTGGAGGTGGGTAGCGGGATGAAGGGGTATCTATTATCTACACTGTCCCTTTATAAATAAACAATAAATTAATAAAAAACCTTTATCGCCCTACTGCAGTGGTTCCTATTGGCCTGATGACCCCTCAAAATGAAGCAATGTCTATTTGTTAAATACGACATTGACTGTGATTTTCAGATTGTTTATCTTAAATCATTTTTATAGGCCAGAGAAGGAGAACAATCGCAGTGTTTCATAAAAAAGCAACACAGAGCCAACTGGGCTAACTGTTTCCCTGACCACTTATAGGCCTGAGGTTATTTTCCAAAATGTCAAACTATTTTCCTAAATGCTTGCTTTGTCCTTTTTGTCCTAAACTTCGGGACCCAGTCTTTGAACGCCTCAGAGGCTCCTCATCTAGTTGTTCTTATTTGTTTTCTGTGACTGCAGGACAGGAAATAAGTTTCAAAATCTGGAATGATAAATCTGACAACTTTGCTTCTGTTTCACTTGCTTTTTGATTTTTAGAGAGCATATACACCAAAAAAGTAACTTTTGTTCACTTTTATTGACAAAACAGATGCAGTTCTTCACACACATTGTTACCCCCGCTTCCTCCCTTAGAGAGCGTACTCATACTTTAAATTTTAAATGCAGTGTAGGCTAAATATTTTGCACACTCCCTGCACTAACTGTAATTTAAATAACAGCCATATTGTGCATAACCTTTATTATTCTTTTATCTTATCAACATCGTATTGCCAGTTTTGGATTTAATATTTATGATTACTTGACCTGCAGTACTTGCTCTACTTTTTGTGGTATTTTTCTACCTTGTATGTTTATTGTTAAGCACCAAAGCAAATTCCTTGTATGTGTAAACCTACTTCTGATTCGGGAGCCATCATCGGCCGGATTTCAAAAACGATGAGACTTCATATCGGGAAGAAATTGTTAGTCTTGTAGAGTGGTGCACAGACAACAACCTACTGCTCAATGTCAGCAAAACCAAGAAGCTAATAGTTGCATTTAGAAAAAAGGAGATAAAGACACTCATGTCTACATCAGTGGAGCTGAGGTGGAGCAGGTGAACAGTTTCAGGTTCCTGGGAATCAGCTTCACATATAACCTGACACGCTGGTGGAGAAAGCTCAAAAACGCCTGTATTTCTTAAGGACGTTTAAGAAGGCTAAATTCCTGGGCCAAGTTCTCGTCAGCTTTAAAGAGGAGCAATAGAAAGCATCCTGACTAGAAACACCACAAACTGGCGTGTGATGTGCACGGCCCAGGGCTCTGCAGCGGGTGATTAAAACTGCTCCGTGAGGTGAGGTGCACACGCAGAGTGCAAAGGATATTAACCCCCAGTCACAGCCTGATCACCCTGCTGCCTTCTGGGAAGAGAATGTGACAAATAAGCCTTGTACCTTGGAAACCCCGTTTATCGACAGCGCCTGCAGTTCGTCAGTCTGTCCAGCGGGCGGCGCTGTGAATGAACTGCGCCACAGTGGAGGCGTTCAGAAGTAGAGCCGCTCCGGTTTGATTGGAGGAAGTAATACATCAACAAAGAAAGATGGCCGAAGTCATAGAACTGCAGAAACTGAAGGTTGGTAGTGCATTAAATATGTATTTATTACATACGTTAGGTGGGTTTATTAGGAAACATTACTTTCTAACCGTTGTTAGTTCCTATAGCAGTAGCGGATGACTGAGATGAGTAAAGAAGTAAAGGTGTCCGCGGGGTGTGAGAGCAAACAGCCGGCGTGTGTTCACGCTGTTCATTCAGCTGCGAAGCTAACCTAGCCAACCGTACCGAGATAACTCAAATACCTGACGTTAGGTTACGCTAACGTAGCTGGGAATGAGTTTAAATTTACAAATATCAGTGATCGTGGGTTAAACCTGTAAATGTAACTCCTGTTGTTAGATATAAAGTGTCCCGCCATCTCTGATCCGGTCCAGTTAAATTTCCGACGCTTGTAAGGAAGTGTGTTTGACCTCCATCGCTCTCTAATTCATGTTAGCCAAAACATTAGCCCGCTAATAACGCTGTCTGTTTTTCACGCTTGAGTTTCTAAGATACTTCGATCATTAGCTGTCCGGAAATTGCGCATCCTCTACCTCCCAAAAGTTTAGTAGTAAAGTTTATTAAAACATTTCTCAGTATTTCTCGTTGTGTCTTCCAGCGTCCTTGTTTCCAAGATCCACAGTGAACTTTAAGTCTTAACTTTTAAGCGGATAAAAAATGGACGATACATTCTTAAAATGAATCGGCCACTATTTTATCATAAGTTCTCATTAATCTTTAAATAAATCCCAAACATTACCATGTACCTTCCTATTTATTTGTCTAAAAATGTCTTTGTGATAGTAAAGAGGATATACTTTGGTTTTGGTTTGATGATCACGTTGAGCTTTAGTTTTTACTAACAGTTTCTAGACCAAATGATTAATCATGGAAATAATCTGCACATTAAGTGAGAATAAAATAATTGTTATTGCAGCCATAAATTCTAGATCAAGTTGGCAACTCCATCTGCTGAGGATGACTGTGTTATCTGATCGAAATCTCCTGTAGTGCCATTGTTGATTGACAGTACAAACCATTTATTTTGTCTTTTAGCTGTATCGCCATGCAGACAGTTTCTGCTGGTGAACGGGATTTCAATTCTGTTATTAAAAATAATGTAAAGAGAAACATTGCTTTGCAGAAATGCCTTGCCTGTTACTTTGGATAATCCACAGATCTCTGGACTACTTTGTACTAAAGAAATTGTCCCAAAGAACAGCGTGAACAACAAGGCAAGGTTGGTAAATGGCGCATGCTGCATTAAACGTATTGTTTCTCTTTTTGATTTAAGCTTGCTGAACTGAGGCAGGAGTGTGATGCCCGAGGCCTGGAGACAAAGGGAAATAAAGGAGAACTCATTGCCCGACTTCAAGCCTATCTGGAGGAGCACGGTGAGATGAAATGGCCTTCACAAAATTTAAAAATAATTCTTGTTGTGGTCACTTGTTTCTGATGTGAGATGCTGTTAGTCTTTTATATGCATTCCTTATTGTGATAAATCACTGACCTTTCCCTCTGGCCCTTGTTCTCTCTGCTTTCTGGTGGTGGGAAATTTCTTTTGCCCATAATCCATACAACAGAGGAAGATGTGGACGTAGACGATGTGCTGGGAGAGGATACAGAGGTAATGTGGTTTTCACTCTTTCACTTTCACCTCTCAGACCTCACACACCATTTTTGGAAGTAGAGATAAGTGTTAACATTATCTTTTTTTTTTTAGGATTTCACTAAAGTTGAGAGTGCCAACGATGAGAAAGACATCAAGGAATCTGAGTCTACTGAGTGCGAGATGTAAGTTTATTGTCACTTAGTCCACATAACAAACAAACAATATATTACGTTACCTGTTTATTTTAGAGCTGTTCCCTCTGCTTTTGGTAGAGAATTCACAGACATAAGCCGTGTTGATTTTCATCTAACTCTCTATAAGAAAGTTAATAAGCATATTTTTCAAAATGTCGCACTATTCCTTTGACTTTGGGAAGTAACATTCTTTATGACTAAACTATAAGCAATACTCTTGAACCTAGGCCTGTGCATACATCTTGTCTAAATGGCTTCACAGGGTGGTGTAGAAATATCCCACATGATCCGCCCCATATTAATACACATAGATTTATTAATGGATTTTTAGTTTTACCACTAAAGTGTAATCAATCTTGCTTATTACACTTCTTTACATGTTTTTCTTTCAGACCTGCTGAAAAGAAGGTGGTGAAAATAACTCCCCATCATCTGCCAGTGAAGTACGTTGGAGATGTTTGCCTTTTAATCTGCGTATTTTAATACAGAGATCACTGCCACATGTGGAAGTGATTCTGATCGCTTTTAAAACACACTTCAA